CGGAGCCAGAGCTGCCCAGCGAGCCGAGTCCCCCGCGTCCACGCTGGTGCCGCTGCCCGGGGTCGGAGGGCTCTTGGCGCTGGGGTGGGGGGCCCGGGGTCCCCTGCGGGGCTTGTGGCGCTGGGGTGGGGCTGAGGGGAGGCCGCTCTAGCTCGACCCGGGCCCGGGAGCAGCTCCCTCCCGGGGCGCCGCGGCCTCAGGCCACTGCCACGTCGTGGCCCACAGCCTGGGTGGCCCCAGGGGCCAAGGGAGCAGGCGTGCGGGCGCCCAGGCTGTGCCCGTGGGGCTCCCGGGGTGGGGATCCCGCTGGCGGCCTGCTCCCGGACCAGACGCCTGTGCTCGCGGGAAGCCGAGGTGTGCCCGAGTGCCAGGCTCCCTGGAGTCCGCCTGTGCCTTGTCACGGAGGGGCGGTGAGGTCTGGACCGCGGGCCCGTCGCGTGGCCTCTGGTCTGTGGGGGTCTGTCGGAGGCCGGGAGACCCCTCTGGGGACCCTGCTGCGGACAGTGCCCGCCCCTCACGGGCACAGCCCCCTGTGCCCCTGCGGCAGCTCCCGCTTCTTAGAGACCCCGGGGAGCCCCGGTCTGGAGCCCCTCTGCAGCGACCGCCCGTGCCCGTGGGCGCCCCACGGCCCCCCGAGTGCGCCTCCCATGGCCGCTCCCCTGTGAACCTGCCCCGCCCAGGAAGCCCTCTGGCCGGCGCACACTGCTTTCACTTGTGTTTAAACGGAAGAAGTGTTTTTAAATGAACACACACGGTGCGACGTTCAGACCGTGGAGCCGCACCAGCGGGGGCTCACGCCGGCCCCCCTTACTCGCTGTTACCTGGTGTCTTGTGTATCCTCTGAGCGATCTATGCATTTATAAGTTTATAAATATGTATATTTATATATCTATTTTTAATACAAATGGTAGCATTCTGCCCACAGTGTTTCGAAGTCTGCTTTTTTCACCTCTGCTGCAGATTGTTCCGTGGGTCAGCCTGGTTCTGATGAAGCTGGCAGCAGTGTCTGTGTGCAATGGCAGTGCCTGAGCGGGTGTGCTGCAAGCCAGTGTGCACGGAGCGGGTGTGCCATGAGCCGGTGTGCACGGAGCGGTGTGCACGGAGCGGGTGTGCACGGAGCAGGTGTGCACGGAGCGGTGTGCACGGAGCGGGTGTACACGGAGCGGGTGTGCACGGAGCAGGTGTGCACAG